ATACTGTTCTTTTCAACCACTTTGAGGATTTCTGTTGTAGTGATTTTACTTGGACAGTGGGAATGGTGTTCTGTTATCTGCAGGTACAAATTTTTTACATGGCCACAGGTTGTTAGCAATATTTTAGCTTTTTCAGCATCAACTCTTTCTCTGGGGTCTCCAGACATTTCTTTTGATCATGGCATAAGTCCTACAATGAAGAGACACTCCTGAATAGCAAAAGGAACAAATTTTGCATTCGTTATACAGGGAAGGGCCATTTAATTCTGAACTGTCCGTAATCAACCTGCCATATAGCCAAATAACACATAAGCTCTGTTCCAAAACCAAAGCAATTTAAGGCATCATATGCACGTGAAATTGTTCCAGACGATAGTCATCTTAATTATGCTGCCTCCTAAGATACCTCAGTTTAGCCAAATTCTAAGGCAGCATCGCATGCATCGAGTCCAAAGGAGACGATTCCAGGAGGCAGGCCTCAGTGAAAATAATCCAAGATGGCAATCGAAATGTTCATTATAAATAAGTGTAATTCAAACCTTGTGAAACAGAAGTGTGCTCAAATCTTAAAAATGGATTTAAAAACAAAAAAGCCTTGCAGATCATTTCAAATAATGAAACAAAAAGCCAGTTAAGTGTACTTAAAATGAAAATGTCTTTATGACTATGCTTCTTAACACATTAAGTATACTTTTAAAAACTTTGTAATATTAAAATTTAATTAAAATCTTAAAATACATTTAAAATCTTTATTTTTAATAATCTTTTGCCATGCTTTAAAGATGTATACTTTTATGTCTTGACTAAAATTTAAAAGCACATTTACTTAATAGTTTTTTTTTTTACTTTAATTACATTGAAGTTTTAGTTTACCATAAATGCTCATCAGTACTGTACACTGAGAAAAATGGTAACATTTAAATTAACTAGTTTTATTCACAATATTATTTAGCAACACTGAATCAACATAAATACAATAATTTACACTAACAAAACCATTTTTTATGGGTTAAATCAGGTAAAAATGGCTTTTTAAGACTTTTTGCAGTGTACACACCTTAACCATATTTCAGAGATACCAGAATTATTCAATTACATATAAAGATGTACTTAAGTGGGACAAACAAAAGTAGTTTTGTTCAACTAATTGCATTTAGCATAAATTTAACTATAATACGTTTTAATTTAATTACAGTTGACATGCAATTAAGTTCCCGAATACATTACATTCAATTCCACTTAAGCAGAGAAAAGAATAAAGAAAACAGCTCCAATTTAGACTGTAATCTGTGTGTTTTGGTACAATGCAGCAAAGCATGAATTGTTTTTTTTTTTTGTGTGTGTGTGCTGTTTCGTGTTTGGTGCACATTTCTCACAACACGTCTTACAATGGTTGCATATTACGTCAGCAGTAGCCAGTTTTTTTGTGGCTGTACAAATGGATTTGACCACATGAGTGTCTACACTATGAAAGCAATCTGGCTGAAAGTGGATGAGCTCATAACATTTTAGACCCTGTTTACACCTGTTTTTAGCATTATCCACTTGCAGTTAGAACTTAATACCAGGTGAAAACAGGGCCTAAGGAGGACTACATTTTAGTATAGATCTTTAGGCAAACAAATGATCTGCACTGCGTAAAAGCTCAAAATACTCTAAAAGGGCTGAGGAAAACAGGCAAAAATATCTCATAATAAGGCAACATATTTATATTATCTATAACACGGCTTGACAGAGCTTGCTTACCTCAATTGTGCAGAGACTTGAGAAGGGCAAGATATTTTAATGGTTCGCTTGGCTGAATTTTACAGTGCAAATAATTTGTAAGGGCAGGCGAGCTGTGTACTAGGGGTGAAATATGAAGGCTTTAGTGCTGGGCCCCTGGCTCTGCATTAATACTGGTGGTTGAGCTGCAAGTGGAGGTGAGAAGAACGCCATTTGGAGGCTTTGGATTCTCACTGAAGACGGTGATACTAAAGGGATCACACATATAGAGCCGGCAGACATAAACACAAGTGCACTGAAAGAACCTCAGATTTAGAACAGAACTGTAAGCCTGCACAAAAAAAGGTTTAAACATCCAATTTTCTGGATGTTTTGCATGCAGTTATACACATAATTCTTATGCCACATATGGAGCTCCCTGGACAGACTTGCTTCTAAATCTTGGCCGACATAATTTGCGGCTTCCGGAGCTTTCAGAGCAAGAGGATGTCGAAATATTCCGACACGCCACATAATGAAAGAAGCAGCAGCAGTGGAATCAAACCACTTTCTGAATTCCGCCTTTAGCAAGAGTGGGATTATTTTCAGTTCGCCAGAAACATTAAGATTAGCTCAAGCTGTGAGTAATGGTTCCAGGCATTAGTGGAAAAGAAATAATGCCAGTGAAACCAAGAGCTCCAACAGGAGAACACATAGCAGTTTACAACTAGACAGCGTAAGCCAGACCAGACTGAATTGTGGGAACAAATCTAAATCAAGCCTTTAGCAAAAACAAAAACATAATATATGTGGTACTAATGATCACACAATATATATATATATACCACAGGCATTGCTAATGACATATGATTCAGGCTTAAAAATAGATATTTCAGACTATTTCATGCCATCAAATGGACAGGACTGATTTGAAATGCAAGCTGCAGGAGTATCATTTCCCTACAGTCTGTTTTGGTGCAGTATAATTATATAACTAACAAAATTAAAGCCATAACGTGCTTAGCATTTTGTGTGTCATAGGAGTGCAGGCCTATTAAATGTGTCTTGCCCTCTGTTTGTCAAAATGACCATCTGTTAAATTTGCTTAGATGATCCAAAAATAAAAATCATGTCATTATTGACATGAGTGCCCATACACACTTAAAAAATAAAGTTTGCAAAGGGGGGTTTTCACAGCGATGCCATAGAAGAACCATTTTAGGTTCCCAAAAGAACCTTTCGGTGAATAGTTCTTAAAATGTTGTTCCAAAACTGTATGAGTTTCTTTGTTCTGCATAACACAAACATTGAATTTTCAAAGAACATTTTTGTCAATACAAAAGTCAATGGGGTCCAATTTTTTTTTTTTATGTTTTATGTATAGACCAGGGGTGTCCAAACTACGGCCCGTGGATGAATTTTAAGCGGCCCGCAGCTGTCTTAATAGTCTATGTTATGTATGGCCCGCCAAGCATAATTTACAAAATAGGCCTATGCAGTTTCAAAATGTCAACACAAGATGGCAGCACTACATTTTAGACCAGATGTAGCAGTAAAACGCGAGTGATATCAATTTGATAACTCATATGCGCTCTCATTTCTTTAGCGCACGCGAATTCCTAAACGCGTCAAAAGCGGAAGAGCGCGACTCGTTTGAACCGCGCTGCACAGACCGTTTTTAGCTCTGCCTAAAGACAGCGTAGCGCGAGCTCAGAACAAATGCGTTTACGCGCTGACTGATCTCGATCACGAGACCACTAAACAGCGCTGTGAGAAGCGTTTGAGTTTGGAGCAGAGGTTTCCATACAAACCACATATGTCAAAGGCAGATGAAACAGCGCTGACATTCTCAACAACACTAACGCGGAAAATAGGAAAAACATTGTGCGACAACAATGCAGTAAGAATACTTTTCAATCCACAAATCACCAACATTTTGATTTACTGTAGTAACCGTAACTGTGGTATTGTGGCAGAAATGTTGCATATTTATACAGAATCTTCTTATATAATTAATGTAGACATATAGGCCAATTTAATGTAATGTAAGGGAGTTATGAAATATAGGCCAAATTACAGACATTTTTGATGCAGTTTGTGCTTTCATGTGTTAATAGATTAAATACCATAAAGCCATTCTATGTTATAATTATTAAAGCTTTAAAAACAAGATATTTGCAGATTTTTGTCCTCAACAAAACACAAGCTACTGTCAAATCAACATCACACATACATTATATATATATATAGGTAGAAGCATCCGGCCCCCCAGTGTTTCCACATCGTCGAATCCGGCCCTCTTTAGGAAAAGTTTGGACACCCCTGGTATAGACTAAAACATCATCTTGTGAGTTGTGCAGAAGAAAGTAAGTCATACAGGTTTGGAACAACATGAGGATTGAAAGACAGAGTAAATGATGACAGAATTTTCATTTTGGGGTGAACGATGCCTTGAAGAGGAATATTTAAAATCAAAAAGCAGCACAGTCCTGTCTAAAAGAGAAGAAAAACATGCCAAAATCACACAAACAATGTGGGAGAGAAATAAACCTGCACAATGCAGAGGAAAAATCTTTTTTTTTTTTTTACATGTCTCAATCCTATGTAGAAGCTTCCCATAGGGATAGTTTTTGATCTGGAAGCTGAGGGCTTCCCTATATTCCACAGCATACTGGACTATCACATTCTATGTTTATCTGAAACAGGTGGGCTGCCTCTGTAGTGAGAGTAGGAGAGCGTTTCCATGAGAACTGTGCTGGCTAAGTATTCACAGCCAGTATGAAAACTATGTGGCGCTTACTAGTTACGCGGGGCCAGTACGAAACATTTAAGACGGAATTGTAGCTATATGCGTAGAGAATAGTAACTCAATTGAACCGTTCTAGTACAAGAGTAAAGTCGATCTTACCTGCTCTGACAGACTGAAGTGCGTTAACAGAGCATCATTTTTACAGAACAGAGGTTCTAACACTTTTAGTTAGGTATAGCTCCTCTATAGGCTGTGAGAAATTTGACAAGCAACTTTGCAACTGAAAAAAATGATGTATGTTTAAATAAGGAATGTCTATACAGTCTTTAATAAATTTGGGATATCTGAACATGACAGTTTCTTTTCATAGAATCGTAATTTCTGACAGTAACCTGAAAACATGGAGGCTGCGTACTGTTACTCATTTGTTGCAATCGAAATCGCTGTTTGTGTATACTACTAAACCTGCCGACTGGTTGGTAACAATGAATAATACTGTATTAATTGTATTGTAATGTGGTGTGGTGAATAAATTCGTTGTACTTACGAAGACGGTGTGTGGATTCCAGTAGACTCCAACACTCGCTGTAGACTTGCTCTTCTGTAGTTCGGTTTAATTCACAGTGAATGAGCTCGGTGCGCGCGGCTCATGTCTCCACGGAGCAGCGGTGATGCGCGCGAGCTGTACAGCGGTGCCGTTCTTGATTTGACAGTTCAAACAATGAAAACAACTAACATAAACACGCACAATCCAATCAAGTTGTAGACTCGAGGCGAGGCGGATTTATGAAACTATATCTCGCGGCGAGACACAAGATCGAGCGTCTAACGTTCAAGATGAGACGTGTTGTAAAACCCGAATTAGAATAAAAGTGATTGACGAAAGATGTTTGGTAACACCAGCTGCAGCCCATTCACATCATTCCAAACATTAGAAAAAATAAAATAAAATACCTGCTTCCAGCAATGGAATTTTAGGGGGTGCTGAAAAAAATAGGCGTTCTATACAAAAAAGCGGAGACTATATTATACATTTGGGGGGAAAGAGTAAGAGAAAAGAAAGCGTATTGGGAGAATGATCAGAGCCGCACACGGCCGTGTGGCGCCAGAGGGAGAGAATGAGAAGATGCTAACTATACGCTCGCATCATCAGCCAAGCCATGAGGATGGAGGAGACGGGCGGAGTATGCTGGAAAAGGTAATATGGAAATGAACACTCTGTTTCTTTTTTCGGCGAATGGGATTGTGCAGAAAGACGAGACTGGGTGCAAAAAGCGGCATTTTTTTTTCAGCTGCGTGGACTGCAGAAAGCGGGGAGGGACATTTTGCTATACAGGTTTGCCGGAGTGTCGCTAGCAGGCAGAGCGAGCCAATACAGGACGATAATTCATCAAATTGGCACTGATGTAGTAGCACAGACACATTAGAAATGCTAATTACTTTGGCTAGAGCGTAAAAACACGTGCACATCAGAAGAGCTAAATCAATTTTGTACCCTCTGACCCCTCTACTGGTGTCCACTGATTCAATAATGACACTTAGCAAACAATAACTGTAGTGGTCCAAAGGTGAACAGCAGTTGACTGAATCTCTTGTCAGATTAGGTAGGCTATGTAATAAGAAATTAGCATCTAGTACATTTTCTTCAGGTTTTTCCCCCTCCCAGTTCAGAATATTTGTAGGCCTATATAAAAATATCTTCCTCTATAATAGGCCTATAGGTTGAAGAATGATCAGGGTGATTTGAAGAACTCCACTTCTGCACTTCTCAGTTTTTACATGACAGAAAATCTGGTTACCTGAAGGCACAGTCCCTATTGGCTGTGAAATTAAATTCTCATGCTAAGAAAAAAAAAACTTAAAGGGTTAGTTCACCCAAAAATGAAAATTAGGCTGCGTTTTACTCACCCCCGAGCAGTGTTGGGCAGTAACTAGTTACTAGTGAGTTACAACTTATGTGGGGCATGAAAAAATAGTAATGTAACTAGTAGTGTAACTAATTATTGTTGCCAGGAAGTAATAAGTAAAGTAACAATATTACTTTTGAAAGGAGTAACTAGTAATGAGTAATATCTAGTCTAAACTGGTCTTAGCTGGTTTCTCAGTCTCCATGTTGGCTGATTTTAGAGGGTGTTGGTCACTTTTCAAATTTTAAGTCACCCCTGGACCAGCTTGGCCAGGCTTAGAGACCATCCTCGCAAACCAGCACTGGCCAGCAAATCTGATTTAAAATAGTGTTATCTTAAACCAGCCAAAACTGATTCGCTGGTCTTAGCTGGTTTCTCAGTCTCCATGTTAGTTGATTTTAGAGGGTGTTGGGCACTTTTCAATTCAATTCAATTCAGTTTATTTCTAAAGCACATTTAAAATCAACCTTGGTTGGCCAAAGTGCTGTACAAAGCTAGAGAAAAAAAAAGGAAAAAATGGAAATAAATAAAAATGGAAGAATGAAAGCAAGTAAACACATACACATTACAACAAATTAAAAGCACAGGAGAAGGAATGCGTTTTTAACATGGATTTAAATTTGTCTAATGTGGAGGCAGTTCTGATGGTTAATGGCAAGTTGTTCCAAAGCTTGGGGCCAGCTACTGTGAAGGCTCTATCTCCCCTGCGTTGCAGACGGGATCATGGTATCAACAAAAGATGACCATTTTGTGATCTAAGTGACCTAGAAAGGATTGTAGGTAGTGATTAAATCAGAAAGATACCTAGGGGCTGAGAGTAGTTAAGAGCTTTGTAGACAAATAATAGAATTTTGTAGTCAATTCGATATCGGACCGGCAACCAAGTGCAAGGAGGTTAAAATTGGTGTAATATGGTCTCGTTTGTGGCTGCCTGTGAGTAGATGGGCAGTCGCATTTTTGACCATTTGAAGGCGAGACATAGAAGAGAGAGGTAACCCAGCGTAGAGAATTACAATAGTCGAGTCGTGTTGAGATAAAAGCATGAATAACAGTTTCAAAACTTTTCCTGCTTAGGAAGGGTTTGACTTTAGCTAACTGACGATGATAAAAACTAGTACTAACTATGGTATGAATTTGTCTATCTAATTTGAGACTATTATCTAGGTACAAAACCAAGATCTTTGACATCTGAGGCAACTTTTAAGCCACCCCTGGACCAGTTTGGCTTGGAGACCATCGCAAACCAGCTAATGTCAGCAAATGTGATTTAAAATAATGTTATCTTAAACCAGCCTAAACTGGTTTGCTGGTATTAGCTGGTTTCTCAATCACCCTTTTGGCTGATTCTATAGGGTTTTGTGCACTTTTCAACTTTGAAGACACCCCTGGACCAGCTTGTTTAGGCTTGGAGACCATAATTTTAATAATAATTTTTGTATTATTTATTTATTGCAGCTCGGTCACAACAGTATAAACAATATAATAGTATTAGGGCCCTTAATTTATATTACTCTGCTTGGACCTCAAACCTGTGTCCTTCCAAGATTCTGCCAATGAGAAACCTTGTTTGCTATCTAAATCTTTTGCCAGCTCTAGTACATTATCCATCTTTGTCAAATTCAATGCAAGGTTGCATTCCCAAATTCATTTGGTAAATTGGCTGCATGACATATTGTGTTTTTACACATTTTTATGTATTTACCTAAATTTCACTAAAACACCCCCAGAATGCTCATTTGGATGTGCACATCTGTGTGTTTGTGTTTTAAAAGAGCCAGTCTGACAGTCATTCACAATGGAAAAAACATTGCAGAGAACTAAAACTGCTTATTCAAATGTGAATATCCAGCTCACAAAAAATTTGCCTTCATGTCATATGTCTATCACAGGAATAGCATATTTATCAAGCAACTATTTCTTAATTTTGTTTCAGCAAGTATTTGTTAATATAAAGCTACAAAATAAAAATGAACTGCATGTACACAACAGACACAGACATTCTGCAGTGTTATAGACTTTATCACATCTAGAAAAGATTATATATGCAATATGTAACATATGCAGCAAGCTACACAGTAATGGGTAATATTAACCTATATATTTCTGTTCTGCAGGCATGAGTCATAAGCAAAGAAATAACCAACGCCTTCTATTGACTCAATAAAGCAGATCTCTCCTGCCATCTACAGTTCAAACTGAGAAATTGCGTATTATGTGACCACAATTCTTGAACAGAAATAACAGCAAAAAAAAAAACAAAAAAAAATCAACGACAGTTTTCCTAGCTACGAATTGTATTGCCATTAAGTCAGTATAATAAACAGCAAACCATTAAGGGTAAAGGCCAATAATAAATACTCTCCATAATAAATTAATTCAAATCATAATTGAACAAAGCATAAACTCTCTATACAAAGACTGTTGTTATTGCACGGATAGCAACACCAACTAAATTACACTGTTTTGAATTCCATTCCATGCAAACAAAGTTAAACGAAATGTTTCTTTTGTAAAATTCTCTCTCCGAATGCGCTTCCGCGAGACCGGGGCCCGGATGAGGTAAATAAGTCACGGGACAGGAAAGGCTCGCGAAACCCTATCGCAACAGTGACGTCACATCAGAGCGCGCGCAAAACACCATTAGCATCCGGCTGCGATTGGCTGATCGAAGAAGCCGACTGCCGACTGATTGGCTGAGAGCGGAGAACTACTGTAAACGACCACGAACAACAATATCCGAGCCGAAATGAGATCATACACGCTGTAGTGATAACAACAGCCGGACTGGACATTTGGCACGCTACTGCCTGCGGCGAGAAGACAATCACTTCGACTAAATGTCACGAAAAACGGGATCTTTTTTCCATTATTTTTGGCCGACGACGTTTTCAGATGAGCATGACTCAACCTTAGAAATATGAAACTTATATAAAGTAGCAATTACAGCTATTGTTGTTGTTTGGGTGTGTCACATGCCATGAGTCAATCAACATATGTCGAGAAGTGGAGAATCGACTCGTAATCGTACTGAAGATAAGAAGGAATAGCATCAAGTGCCACTAACAACTCGGTTCCGGAGAGACGAACACATTCATATCTATTGTCTTGGAATTCGTCCAGATCCACAGGTATGCATTTAGGAAAACCAGTCAATGTTAATTTAAATGTTTAAAAGAAATAATCTAATCATTAAAAACAATGTCTTTCGAAATGTTGACCATGTAATAAAACGTATTAGATCATTAATTGTTTTAACACCTTGAAATTACAATATGAAATATCCTACTATTCTCTTTTTACCAGCTCTTACAATGGATAAAAGATTGCATGGCCATCAATATGATTCCAGCACCTTGAATGACAAAAAGAAAGGAAGAGAAGAGACAATCAATACCCATGGACAACATCAGGATCAAACCTCGCCAAACATTTCTCCTCAAGGTGAGAACTTCAAAGAACCACGCTAGACATTAAACAGGTCACAGTTTCAGGGTGTGTATCATAGATTGACCTAGATTTAACGAAAGTTTCTGTTACCATGTGATGACGTGCTTTTGCAGGACGTGTGCGGCTCTATTCGGAGTCTCAGGTGTATATGGTCAGCCGCTGGCAGGAAGCGGTGCCCCAGGATGGAGCATCGGCGGAGGAGAACGGAGGAACGGGAGATGGGCTTCCATTCAGAGGTCGTTCTCAATCTGCTCCTGCTGCGCTGTGGAAAGCAAAGAAGTACGGACGGCAGCTGAGGAGAATGAGCGATGAATTTGACACATGGCTTGACAAAGGAGTGAGTGTGCTATATGGTACACTGAATATGTTTCTGTTTGATAGATTGTGAACTTAATGTTAAGTTATTTTGCTGTTTCTAGGAGGTCAAAAGAGCGAACAGTCAGAAACAGACCTACCGAGGATGGTTCTCGTTCCTCTGGAGTTCCAAAGAAGAGGAGGGCAGAGAATGAAGTAGTCATGCTTTAACAATGCTTTACACACCATTATAACAGTTACCAGACAGCTGCTGTCAGATGAAGGTGGTCTGATCATCATCATGGCCTTTTTGTAATTGATGTGCTCAAACTAGTGCAAAAACGGTCATCTGAGAGAACGGGAAAAATGCTGTATCACAATTTACCACTGCAATAACATATGTTTAATTAAAGGTATTGTCAGTGTTACTTCAATTTGACAATCTTAAAAGGGACAATCGCCTAAAATGCTACAATTTATTGGACAATCTTTCTATATACTGATTCAAAAAAGAAACTCTATTTAAAAAAAACTTTATTGATATGTATTACGTTCATATTTGACAAAGAAATGTGTTCTATGATGTATTTTATAGATTAATATATAGATGTGCGTTTTTGTTGTACTAAAGGCTGGAGCGGTTGCTTGCGAAATGTAAATATATTTCAAGGACTGTGACACCGGATAAAGTAAGTTGTGAAGTACAGGTTAGTGATGGTAACAATAATACGGGTAAAGTTATTTCAGTTCATTTTTGCTACATCTCAGGTTTGTTTGTTTTTTAATGCCAAACTGTTGTGAATAACTAGTAAGAGTGGATGAAATCAGTTGTTCTGCCATCTCTTTTATGCTGACTATACTTGGATATGTCACCAGGAAAACAATGCCTTTCGTGTACATATTTCTTGATTGTCTGTAGTCTCTATTGGATTTTTTCCTTTTTTATTCCATCTGCTGGTCTTGTATGCAAAACAACATTCAATTTCTGCCAAACATGTGGGGAGGCAAATATGTGCAGATGGACTACACAAGTTTGGTTTCTGTACTATCAGCCTTGCTGATACTTTCATTCCTTTTTTATGCTCCTTGTACATATTTACACTTGTTACCATAGATTGAGTGATGGATGAACTGTTTAAATACTTTTGAAACAATCACAAGCTTTTAGCATTTTTTCTAAAATTGTGGTAAAAATAAAAGATTTTCTGGCTGAATTTAGTGTTATGTTATTGGGTCAGAGTGTCTGTGATAAAGTACTTTTTAAAAGACTGGATAAATCTAGTTTAAAGCATCTTTGTTAAAAATTTTTTTACCATTATTAATTCACAAATATAAAAAGGTCATACATAGGTTATACATAAAAATACATTATATCCATTTTTGAATTTTAATTAAAAATAAACAATTCAGAAAACATGCTCGTCATTGCATGTAAAAATAGTAGTTAAAAAAAAACCATAAAAATGCTATCACGTCATTGACTCTATTTACAATGATAATTTTATTTGCTGAATTTTACATTTTGCCTTGGGATTAATAAAGAAACTGTCATATCTTCAGGCTTAAGCTATTTTGCTTACAAAACCTTGTTCCGCAGTTCAGGGCATCCAGCCTCATTATATCCATCGCACTTAGCTGGAAGTCAAATACCTGTGCGTTCTGCACTCTGCGAGGACCGAGGCAGAACTGAGATGCCTTGCTGCACAGCCCACCTCAAAAGAACCTGGGCAGGGGTCCGACCACAGCTCCTCACTATATCCATTACCTCAGGTTCCCTCAGGAGAGCTCCTTTACCCAGCGAAGAGTAGGCCTGGAAGTGAATGCCTGTCTCAGTACATAAATCCCTTAGTTCCCTCTGGATTAGCTTAGGTTGACACTCGATCTGAAGGACCACTGGGGGCACGCGGCAGCTCATGAGCAGCTCCCTAATGTGCTTTGCATTGTAGTTTGAAACCCCTATGGCCCTGAATTGCCCGCTGGCATAGAACTCCTCTAGAGTCGCCCAGCTTTGCGTTCGATACTCTGAATGACGAGAATCCCCTGGGTGAAGACCCCCCAGGCCAGTGCACTAGATAGAGGTCGATGTATTCAGTCTAGTTGCTCCAGACTCCTCAGGCAGGCTTCCTTTGCCCTTGTCCCATGGTCTAATGGGGCAAGCTTGCTGATAATGAACACATCTTCACAGCTTAGGCCATACTTGGGCAACAGCTCTTTGAGGACTTGCCCTAGATATGCCTCATATCCATAAACTGCACCTGTGTCAAAGGCTCTGTATCCCGCTCGAAGAGCAGAAGTGACTGTTTCAGCTGCTCATGGTCTTGGAGCTTGTATGTGCCCAAACCCAAAAGTGGCATCTGCACTCCTGACATCAACGTTACTGATGGTACTATCATTTTTGTAATACTTCAAACAATTCAGTTTTAATGAAATTCTGCTACTTTAAAAAAAAATATTTGGTCAATATTACATTAAAGTCATGATATCGAAAGTAGTAACAGATCTTTTCTAGATATTTCCACTGTTATGCTGATGATACTCAACTATATATCTCAACAAGACCAGATGAAACTTCTAAATTATCTAAGCTAACATACGTCTTTAATTGATTTTTCCGTACATTTCTGCCATATGTACATTGACTGACAGTCACCACTGATAAGCTACCACTAAATATTGTAGAAACTTAATTTGCTGTAAAGTTGCTTTGCAATGATTTGTATCGTGAAAAGCGCTGTACAAATAAACTTGAATTGAATTTTCTTCTGTATTGTGTATTTGAGTGAAACCGATTTAAGATCAAATAAAGGATGGGTTCTTGGTTCTATCCATCGGTTGTTTATTGGATGGAAAGCTTGCAGTCAACTGTAAGAAAGGAACAGGGTTTAAGACGACTAAATGATTGGAGAAGTCTGCCATACTTCACCAGAGAGAAGTCTGTTGTTTCACCGAAAGATCGAGTTATAACATTTTTATTAGAAGTTATGAGGTAAAAAATATAAAAAGATGAATTGTTCACAATAAGATCAAAAACATGCATTTAGAAAATCAGATGACTTTTCAATTAATGCTGACTTGATAAAGTTTGTAGTTAAATTTTGAGAAGGTAAATTTATTTATTTCCCTGACCTTGTATCTTTGGTTTGCTTATGAATTTAAGAGTAAATTTGCTAACCTTTGGAGACCAACTATGCTTAAAGTCTTATTAGCTCACATCGTGCTAAGATTTAATAGAGCTATTACTATAAGACCTACAGCTCTATTAGCTGCTTTATGTTAAATAATGACAACCACTCATACGTAAAGGTTATATCATCAGAATCTTAGAAATGTGATCAATTTTTGCGTATTGCTGTGTACTAGTAATTTTGTTTTAAGTTAACATTAGTTCAAAGTTTATACTCACACATGTAAAGCAGTTGACCGGAATGTCAGAACGCTGTTCAAATTCAAACACAAAGCGCGCCAAATTGCTACAGGATCCCGGAACGTCGTACATCCGCTCGAGATCTTTCCTGAAAAGTAATGATGGGTGCTGCAGGGTTTTATTTCAGGCAGCGAAAGGGCGCATTTACTGACGCTGTGGTAATTTGAATGGTCAGGTACTCGTTTGTTTGTTTGTGTGTGTGTGTCTGTCTCTGTTCGTGTTCGGAGAATATGGGGGTAGATTGCAGAACTGCAGAAAATAGCTATGCAATGAGGCAAACAAATTCACGACACAGGAAAATTATTAAAAAACCATCATGTTGCCTTTATTCACAAACAGATATGAGAAACACATACGTGGAAATGAGCATTAGTGAGCACTAAAGCAAAATATTAAGACACTTGATCAACGTTATTTGCATTATAAGAGACTACACGTTGTATTTATTACATTCTCACATTTTATACTGCAATGATTGTCGAAAAGCTGTCAGTCTGAAAGAAAGACAATTACACACAATAAAGAGCTAGATCAGATTGTGCATTTCTAGTGTTCTTCTCATAATTTTGATTATGTCTTATATGGAGGTTATAGTTCTCAATCTATGAACTTCTTACCTACTGCTTTTCTAATAGACCAGATAAACAAGTCCTAACCTCTCACATTTGCACATTTAATCTGCTGTCACAGCAGATATCCTACTCAAACCCAAAGTTTCACTTACTACTGTCTGGATGAAATTCTTAATCTGATGTTAATTTTTATATGGGTCATTCTCAGGAAACGATGTGTGCTGTAAATGTCCAGGACAAAAAAGGTCACAAATTAATTTGAAAATAACTGAAATCCATTTTTTTTTTAAACCACATTAACACTATAGGAAGACGGCCCTGCACCACAATATTCAGATTAGTGGTTAATAATTACAGGTTTTTCTGTTATAAATAGCTGGCTATTGCCTTGCACATCACCAGCACTTAAATGCTAAATCACTGCATAATTTCAACTCAAAATTATTTAGAAGTTTGGAATTTATATATAGACCTACTGTACTTATGTTAAAGGGATGGTGATCAGTGCAACAATTCTAGTTAGGAAAAAACTGAAGGAACAAGGATTTCAATAAAAATATTGTCTTTACATAACTCATTAAAATATTATAGTGATGGAGACAAACTTTGACATTCTGATGTCCAACAAACATTTAAAAATGAAATTATTTAAAATGTACCATTTTTTTTTAAAACCACATTAACACTATAGGAAGACGGCCCTGCACCACAATATTCAGATTAGTGGTTATTAATTACAGGTTTTTCTGTTATAAATAGCTGGCTATTGCCTTGCACATCACCAGCACTTAAATGCTAAATCACTGCATAATTTCAACTCAAAATTATTTAGAAGTTTGGAATTTATATATAGACCTACTGTACTTATGTTAAAGGGATGGTGATCAGTGCAACAATTCTAGTTAGGAAAAAACTGAAGGAACAAGGATTTCAATAAAAATATTGTCTTTACATAACTCATTAAAATATTATAGTGATGGAGACAAACTTTGACATTCTGATGTCCAACAAACATTTAAAAATGAAATTATTTAAAATGTACTTTAAATCTATTACGTGACTAAGTTACCTAATTATAAGTACCCAAGTATACCTAATTATACCAATATTATATCACAGGGACACACTGCGCACATAAATGATACAAATTCCTGAAAAATACACTGTCTATAGATGTGTTCATATTTCTGTTATTTTGTACTTCTAATTACATTTAACATTCACTACCCTAAAATCTTGAAATGCTCTGACATTTTCTGGAATCTTGCGAGTTCATTACCTCATTTTGGATTCCTGTTCTTTAAAAGATCCTCAGAAATGCAAAGCAAAAGGCAACCAATGAAACTAAATAATTCAAAGTTGCCTATACTCACTAAATCTCAAAATAAACACTAATAACGTGGTTTATCATTCCCATTCAAAACACTTGCATGAGAAGTTATAAGGTGGTGACTGGAGTGTTTCAAATGAGGCATGTGGCACAAGGCGGGAAGAATCATTAAAAAAAGGGCGAAATACAGTTTAATAAGTGTAAAACCATTCCTCCTCTTGAAATGGCTGATTATAGAGATGACTACAGAAAACAAACTTCTGTCAATGTGGCTCTACTGAAAAAAGGTAAATCACACTTTAAAAACACTTGACGGACATCATGAAACAACTGCACTATCAGGATCCAGTGTTTCAGGAACAGTGTGTGACTGTTCTAATAATATCACCAGTGAAAAACTGAAGCCAAACAGGCTCTGCTAGCACAAGAATACATACAATAACGTGCAACGTGAAAAACAATCCAGCTTGTAATACTACTTACCTTCACTTTTAACTCACCCATCCTGATGAGCCACACAAAGCTGTTAAGAGATATTCAAAACAGAGCATCAAACATTCATTCATCTTGGCCAGGGATTATTGTGGAACAAAAAGAAGATAAAGTGACTGGAATTTACTAAGGTTTAAATTAATGCCTTTGGCCTTTTAAATGAAGGGTTCAAGCGGAAAGTGCAGTTTCAATACGAATCTATTTGGCACTTTACTTTACACATGAGTGATCAAGTCAAAGGATATTTGTATTATACGAATGATAACTCGAGCGAGTGAGACATGAGGTAGAAATGAAAGAGACTCAATTAAAAACGAGTGACATGAAAACGTTGCGTCTAAGTCAGTCGAATTTTTATTCAGGCGGCAAGATGACAGCGACTGGCAGAACAGGAATCTGTTTTCATAGGTTTAAATCAAAACAAGCATAAGTTTCGAACCTGCTCGAGTGGACAATATGATAAAGAGAGCGGTTTCGGATAAACAGTCGAGAAAACAGGCTTTTTACAAACGTACATTTTAAACAGAAGTGTATGCTAACAATAGGCAAACAGCAGTAGTACAAGTAGGACAGGAAACAATGTTGAGTATTCAGTAATATTTTCAATCACAAGCACGTCCATTATAATGTGATGTCAAAATAAGTCTTTATAATCTTTAAAAACTTTCTCCGAGTCTGCGACTTCGGCAAATCAGCTATTTGTCTAATACAACGAGATTTCGAAATACAGTGTAGATATTGCACTAATGATTCCGTGTTGTTTTGAATTTATTAGGCGGTTGGCAGCTGGTCGGTCGTTCGCTTCCTTTGACCGGTGGTGCTTTATCCTAGGATGCGGCAGCGGATCCGAAAGTTGAGCGGCTGGTAGATGCGATGTGCTCGGTTAGCCGGTAGGATGTGATTGGTTGATCAGTCAGTTAGCATACAGTTCCGCCCACAACAACCTCTTTACCCATTTCCTCTCTGTTCCTTCCCACTGGTCTCTCTAACATCCAACATTACTTTTAACAACACCATAGCAAGTTAATTTGCCTAGACCAAGGTAATCAAGAGATGAGATTTATTTTAAAAAAGAAATTATAAACTAAAAAAAACAACAAAAAAAAACAGTATAAAATTTGTTTGCGGAGCCCCTTGATGAAAATTCAAATTTCCTCCAAATTAACTCTCCGTCTCATGCAAAAGAAAGTGAAAACTAAAACACTTGAATATTCTTAAATACCAATCAGAAAACAAAGGTAAACATTCAACACAACAAATTTCTTGTTGGGTAGACTATGCATGTTGAAATATCAATGCAAAAAAAAAAAAATTAATTACTTTAAGAAAATAGTCAAACCGATATGCCTGGCAAATATAATGCATCATAACATGCTATAAAACTCATGTTTATTTAACTTCCTATTTGCTGTTCCTTCATCGGGCAGAGGTAAATTTATTAGTTAAATGAGTACAGTATTAGCTGATTGACCCGTTATCTAAAATAGCTACAACTATCACAGAATATTACAAAAATTCACCCCTAACTCACTGATGGTAAGCCCCTCTTAGATTACTCAGCTCCTCGAAAATAAGGGGACGGACAAACTTCAATGCTTAGTAGCTACGGCTGTAGCCATTGCTGTACTTTTCCTCAAAATAATCATCCTTATCAAAGCCTGAGCCGAGAGAGTAGCGTTGATAGTGGGAGGAAGGAGCGGCGGAAGGGGGAGGGGGTGCAGAGCTAGCGCCATTGCGGGCGAAACCCCGGGCAAAGCCGGCAGAAGAGGGTGGAGGGGGAGGGGGAGGCAGGAGAGAGCGGCGATCGCCAAGAGGGCTGCGCTCTCGGTAGTAGCGACTGGCGAGAGGAGGCGTGACCGGCCGCTGAGGGGGCGGAATGCGGCGGTCGTATGGATCCGGATCGTAATATCGCGGGGATGGGGCGGCGTACGGGTCGTGGCGAAGTTCCCTCTCGTACACATCGCGCTCATAGTAGGCGCGGGGTGGCGGTGGTGGGAGAGGAGGGGGTGGAAGTCGGCCACGAGGCGGATAGTATTCACGGGGCGGCGGGCGTGGGGGGACAAAGTGAGGATGGTGGTGTGGGTGAGGTGGATAGTGATGCGGTGGAGGAGGAAAATAGTCCTCCCCTCGGTCGTTTCTGGATGGGTTACTGCGTGAGAGGGACACAAAGATCTTTTGGCCATCCAATTTGGAGTGGCTAAGCTTTGAAATGGCCTCCAGAGCCTCGCCTTCCCTCTGCATGTGAACGAATGCATAATTCTTCACAATATCGCACTCCACCACCTTGCCGAACGGCTGGAAGAGCTCCTTGATTTTGGCGGCGGTGACACCTTCGGGAACATTGCCCACGTAGATCTTGGTGGCATTGCGTACCTTGGTGGTGGCATACTCGACGGTGATGCGGGAGCCATTGACCTCGTGCTTGTGCAAAGCGGAGACAGCCTTCTGCGCTGCCTCTTCCTCATCCATGTGCACGAAGCCATAGTTTTTCAGAATGTCACAGTCAGACACGGCGCCGTACTTCTCAAACAAAGCACGGAGCTCGTCTTCGGTGGTTGCTGAAGCTACATTGCCAACAAATATCTTCACCATTTTGGACAGGAAGAACGGCAGTGTGTTTTGGGATCAGTCTTTGGTTGATTTGCAAGTGCAAGGTATTGAACGATGAAGTTCCTAAGAAAAAACAACAAAGTCAAATAAACAGGCAAAATGTATGCAAATCAACATTAGCAAGAATTTCAAATGCAAAGCACACAGGATAAACCACAACTTCCCTGCTGCCATCAATCACTTTTCCATTGATATTTTATAATAATTAATGGTTAAATCGTAGGAATACAAGTCAAGATATGTATTAATAATAATGGATATTGTACTCAAGCTTCACATAGGGGTCCTCATAATCGTGTTGGTGTTCATGTAACTATTATAAATTATTGGCATTATTGCAAAATAAAGGATTTATTAGAAATTATTACGGAATTACTACATGGCTGTTCTAAATCATAACAGTTTAGCCACCACGCTACAAAAACACTTTACCGCCGAGCACCTGACCACGACTAACCAATCAGAATCAAGTATTTCAGAGCGTGCGTAATAATGAGGGCTTGATGCTATAAAATTAGATTTCAAACACGATTCAGTCTTCTTTTATATCTTAATATGTGGCCAACATGAACTGGGTTGAACGTCCGCTGACAAGAGTATATATCTTTGATCTAACGTACTAAAAACTGATCTACTGCATCTCAATCATGCAATGGCTAAAGCTATCGTGCTAAGGCCACTATCTATTAGCACCAGACTAAGGAAGTAACTGAAATATTTAGTGAGTGAACACCTTACAGCTAAAAAAAATACTTTACGCTAAGAAAAGAATCTCGCATTGTAAAATAAATCCGTGCGATTAAATCAAGATATTCTCGGTTCACGCGAGGACGACGTTCAGTACAAAGGGAGAATATCGGACAACGGAGTGAATACATTTTCTGCATTATGATCATTCAAACGGTCGTGGCGTACTTCTAATCGACGGGTGAAATACCGAAGATAAACATTTGAAGTCTCACGTAAAGTGTAATCTTTAAAATTTACCTTCAAAGCGCAACTATAACGACGACGGGTAAGCTCGCTGATAATGGATGACTGTGAATGCCTGCCTCGTTTGTGGGTTGGGGGAGGGTCACATAAACGTGACCAGACTGAGAGTTGGCGCCTCCTACCGTTTGACCCCAGTTAGTGATAGAAAGTTCCTCTCATGCGAACCGGTTCTTTCGAACAATTTGCTTCAAACGACAGGCTCAAATGATTCAGTGGCTATTACGTAATCGCGTAATAACGTCAACATGAGGTCCCTTATATATCTGCGTGGCTAATTATACACTGTAAACCTTTGTAGTTTATTGTAAAATGTATGAATAAAAAATGTGTGATATTTTAAGTACATTTTATTTATAACGTTTCAGCTTTTCGGCTGTTGAGTAACTTACGGTTCGACCCTCATACTCAAAAACAGGTCGGATCGAGTCAGTGTGATCTGTGATCGGGCTCGAAATAATTCGTTCACGAATCGGAAATCACTACCCCAGATGTGCACATGACAGAGGATGCATCCGGTGTCATTTTTTCTTTCCTTCCTCTGATTGTTCAACAAAATGCCCAATTATTTGAACTAGACATAGCCCAATTTACACAGCACACCAATTTACAAATATGGATTAAATATCTGGATAATCTTAAGAATCTAAAAACATTTTGCCAACAAATGAAAACTGCAAACACATTTAGAATAGCATCATAAACCAAGAATAAAACGTTCATCACTTTATAATTAATATATAATAAATATGTTTAACAGATCAGTAATTAATGTACATTTAAACAAACATGTAAAGATATTAATCCAATTAATAACATTTAAATGTACAATTAATGACTTGGCATAATGGTAAAAGTACTTTTTAAATGTTATTAAATGAACGTTACTCATAAAAGTGTTACCCTAAACCAAACAAACAAAAATTGACACCTAAATTGCTAAGTTTCCAAGTGCTCTCGAATGGAAATATTTTAGAAAGTAAATAGTTTTATTTGTATTGCATGCTCTTTAAATCAATTAAAGAACATCAGCATATTTCAAATGTTGCTTGAAGGTGAAACAAAAGAAAATAAAACAATGCATTAAAATAAAAAGAATGTTGCTCATGAACAACTGAACACAAATCATCCAACGTCTGGTTTATTCATATAATAATATTAATAATTATCTTCTCCAGAGAAAGGCAACGAAACACAGACTCATTCCAGTGCAGCAGATTGGATCCAACCAGCAATTCTTAATTACACTACAATCCACCAATAATTACTTAATTGGCCCTTAATTAGTTTCAGATATATAACTCCTGCAGTAGAGGAAAAAACAAAACAAACAACAAAAAACTAATTGTCTGGGCATTGTGTGCTAAGAGGTGATTCACCTCCAGTGCACCAAGGATTCAAGTCAACACTTCCATTTCAGCTCAAATAAGACACTGTACTGTGATGTAGAAATGGGGCAGAGGTTACGGATTAGCTAGCAATTTCATTGGCTAGATCAGAACCAATCAGATCATGATGAGTGGATATAAAAATTCAAATGATGGCTCTACTGAATGTGCCTAGCCATTTGGGTCTCGATTTTGTGTTGTACATTCTGAGCGTCAACCACCAATATCTCCATCTCTGCTCATCACAGCTAACATGGAATTGGAAGTAAGATCAAGTAATGTGGTGGTTTAGCATTGTTTGTGTTTGGGGATGAATAAGGACCAGGGTATGGGGGGAGAGTTAGATACAGATGTCCATGACAGTAGCTGGTTTGTGTTTGTAAAAAAAATAAAAAAAGACTGGCAAACAATTCCAGTTTATGAAAACCAACGTCTTCTCACGGTCTCTTAACTTTTTCTGAATTGAGGACAGTTGTGATTTCCAAGAAAACCCACAACATTTGAACAAAATTGCCACAAATAAAGATGACAACACAAAGCATTCGAGGGGGGTGAGTAAGGAACAGAAAACCCAAACCAAGACAGAACACTTCCCCCAAAAAATGACCCCCCTGAAAAATGTCTATATACACAAATGTCCCCCATGAACCTGTCTTACACCTTTCCCCCCTTTACAGCCTCAAGACTCTTCGATGCTGCCGTAGAGCTCACAACTCCAATGATTTTCCTCACAGTGCCTCCTCATTCCCAACACATGGGCTCCAGCCGTTCCTCAAGATCTTTTCCACAGAAACCATCATCTTCCTCACAGTTTTAGCTCGTTGGCGATCTTCGAGGCGATGTTCTTGAAGGCGATGGAGGTTCCGGAGATCCTCTTGAAGCGCACCCCGTTGAGCGAGAGGCGAGGTAGCTTGCACACCTCCATCTCCCACTGGACAAAGTCGTCATGCGCGGGGTTGCCCGAAACGCAGAGGAGCATGAAGCGCTCGCGCAACTCATACTCGCAGCTGTTAGAGTCCAGAACTTTACGGATCTCCTTCATCATTTCGTTGGGCTCCATGGAGGAGGTGGTCTTCATGCTCCAGGTGAAGCGGAGGGAGCGTGGTTTGGTGTCCTTGGAGGCCTGGGTGGACGAAGGTGTGCTGGACGCTGGAGAAGAGGAAAAGGAGTCCTTGTTTTCATCGCCAGGCAGTCCTTGGATACCTTTCTCCATCTTGTCTGCTGTGCTCAACATGGGTCTTCAGTGAAAACGATGAGAGGAAAGAGGCACAAACAGGAAAACGAAGGTGAACATGCGGAAGACAAGGAAATGAAAACAGACAGAAGAAGCTTGGTTGATTCAAGCTGTAACTAGTTCTTCTGCTTTAACACGTTTAAAAGTTTAAATCAACATGATTAAATGTTTTTTTATCAACAACACAAAACACCAACATGGTGCTATGGTGGAAGACTACAATGCAGTCAAAACAACAGCATCCACTAATTGGACATCTGTATGGTGCTTTTTGCGGGTAAAAACAAAAACTACAAAAAGTATACAACTATAAATAAAACATTAGAAGTGTAGAAATTTTAAATGTATTTATTACCAATTTTTAGATACTAAGACATTTTTGCATGAAAGAAATGCACTACCGTTTAAAAGTTTGGGGTCAGTAAAATTTTAAGGAATTATTTATTTTATTTAGCAAGGACACATTAAAATGTTCAAATGTGACAGTCAAGATATTTGTTACAAAAAAAACAATTATCAAATAAATGCTGTTCCTTTGAACTTTTTATTCACCAAAGAATGTCATTTTTAATTTGTAATAATTTTTCACAATAGTATGGTTTTACTGTATTTTTTTTTTTTTCAAATAAATGCAGCCTTGGTGAGCATAAAAGACTTTTCAAAAACCTTTTAAAAATCTTACTGACCCCAAACTTTTGAACGGTAGTGTACATTTGATTGTCTCATGATGCAAGTCATCCAATGATTCAAAAGAAAAATACCCAGTTTAAGCTTTAAATGACTCCGCACTCAAACGGAACATGAATCTTTCTATTTAAAAAAAAAAAATGCCTTGGTAAGTAATGATTCAGTGATTTGAGAAGTACGCTTTTGTAGATAAATGATTTTTATTAGTCAGTCGTTGTCCTCACCTGCTGGCCTCATCTCGACCCTCTCCCTCATACGGACTCCTCAAAGAAAACCAACAAGTTTAGTCCCTCAATTCAAGTTATGCTAGCTAAGTATTAGTCCTGTTCATGTAGATTTTGGTATCAATATATTATGCTCATAAAACTTAAAATATCTGAAACAAAAATCCATAAAGCATCTTTTTACAGTCCCTTCACCACCTTCTTGAGCATTTACTTTTAAACTCTGAACCTCAGGATCAACACACACTCACCTAAGCCACTCTGTATTTAGCATAAACACCTGAACAAATGAGCAGACAAATGCTAGTAGTCCAAAATTAGGATATAAATATTCATATTCCAAATGGACAGCAAATATCTGATGTAGCAATCTGTGTGTCAAAGTGCAAGTTTGGATTTTTTTGTGTGTACATGATGCAGTCTGGTAATGTAAGAGCATATAACATTTTAAATGACCCCAAAAGGAATTAAAACGAATTTCAAATCTTATTAGGAACCTAACCGCAAAATTCAGTATAGTGCCTAGAGCAAAACTACAAGGGGTCCTTCTAAACTTAAATTCCCAAACTTGTCTGTCAGAGATGAAGTGTAAAAATGTGTATCTGGTTAATTTTCTCATGTGTGTATTGTACAGCTGAACAAGTGATTTCAGTGAGGTGTGTTGAATGATACAGTCGGACGGGGAGATCAGCCACCTCCAAAACAGCGCAGCACAAGAACGAAGGGCAAAAAGCAGCACGCCTGTTTTAGTGCAGCATTATAAGAATAAGCAGTAGACCGTAAGAGGAGAAAAGCAGGCATCACCCTTTACAGGCCTCACCATGAAAACACGACTGGCACCCACTATTGACCCTGCCTGCCTGACTGTGTAAACTATGAACTTACCTGACCTATTAAAAATCAAATGTCAAGCTTTCGGCGAAGGTTTAGTTGCCATCAACAGAATATAAATGACAAAGAATCCTGTGCCTAATACTTCTACATGCTGTTGTAGATATTAATTTTCTGTCTGAGGGGTCTACAAAATACATAAGGAATTTAATTATTTCTCCGATTGCGCTGAACAAACAAACTTACAACAATAGTATACATGATAATAGCATTATACCTTTATTAACAACACTTTATTAATACAATAATTATGTTGTTAATAAAGAAACCATTTATACAGACACTAAGTTTTATTTGAACCAGAAATGACTCTGATTTAAGTCCCACAAGCCTATAGTTCACCCAAAAATGAAAATGATCTACTCACCCTCATGTCATTCCAAACCTATAAGAATCTTTCAAACACAAATGACAATATTTTTAATATAACCAGAGAAATTTCTGGCCCTCCTTTTAAAGTCCCAGCAACCAAAACATTGATGCTTCAAAAAGTTCATAAAGAGAATGTAAAAGTAATCCATCAATATGAATAAAGCACCTAAATGTAAGTCTTCACTTGGGATCACACCATCACATCATGAACAGATTTAATGGAATCTTTTTTTCCACATGTAAGCATTGATCAACGCACATACATGGAGCACATCAAATACAGTAAACGCGTTTGCTTTGGTGAAATTGACTTTCAATGAAGGGACTGAAATCTTTCCAGTTACA